GATCCGCCCCTCCCCCTGCACTGCCAGTGCTGCTTGCTCCCCTTCTGCCCCCCCCCCAGCCCTGCCAGTGCCCCTCACTGCCGACCCACAGCTCCCTAGTAAATTCTGCTGATGCCCCAGAACCCCAGCCTTGGGGGCTTTAATGGTGGAAATGTGACTCTGTTTTGCAGTGCGGTGTCGTTCGCTGGCTAGGTGCCCGGGACATGAATGGAGCTCTCATCCCAGGCACGCCCATTGCAGTGGATTTTTGGAGCATCAGGAAAGCCAGCCATGCTCGCTTGTTCTTTCTCTCCCACATGCACTCTGACCACACAGTGGGGTTATCCAGCACCTGGCACCGGCCCATCTACTGCTCCCCCCTCACGGGACGAATCTTGCACCACAGGCTGAAGGTAGGAGCCAGCCCATGGGGTCAGACAGCGGCTCGGGGGGCCAAACCCAGGGCCATGGTTTGCATGTCACTTGGATAAAGTGAGCGTTGGAAGGGTGAGAACGCAGTTACTGTGTTTGCTACCCAGGAGTCTGTGATGAGGAAGGGGCATCTTGGGACCAAGCTTTTGGCGTGGGGAGTTAAGAATCGCTGTTTTTCATAATGAACAAAGAGCAAGTCAGACAGAGAGCGATTCGGCCGCAGAGCTCTGCCGTGCGGCTTGTTGAGGAGATGAGAATGGAGCCCATCCCTCAGGAGACGCTCTGGTCGGATTGCGGTACCCGACTCCTGGAGCATAGCGTTCTCTCCCATGGGGCCAGCTGAGGGGGCCTCCTGCCCAGGCAAAGGCAGTGCAGGGCAGGGAAGTGCCTGGGTGAATAGCGAAGTACAGCCCAGGGAATGGGGTTGGGCCCCAGGGCAGCTGGTCGGCTAAGGGAATGGGGAAGGAGGCCTCATCCCTGTGTTGGGAGGGAGCGGGTCTGAGGCCGACTCCACCTGACCAGCCCTGTGCTTCCTTCCAGGTGACGGAGCGCTGGATACAGCCCCTGGAAGTGGGCCAGAGCCACCTGGTGGCCCTTGATGAGGTTGGTAAAACGACCATGACGGTGACCCTGATAGATGCCAACCACTGCCCTGGCTCAGTCATGTTCCTCTTTGAGGGCCCCTTTGGTGTCATCCTCTACACAGGTACGAGCCCCCATCCCGGGGCCCAGAGACCCCCTTTGCCTTCCTGCCCAGCTCTGGGCGTGTTTTGTTCTA